TTGTTTTTCACAGTCGACAGTCACATCTTTACAGCAGCTGTCAGGAACCGAGTAAATTAAAGACAAAGTGCTTACTTCATCGGAGTAATACGAATTATACCAGTCAGTTGGTGCACTGGCTCCACAGCATTTTAGCTGAAATACAAGACATATACAGGGTACTGTATAATAATTATAATAGATATGAAGTTTTATTGATATTTCAGGTTAGTTATGTAAACCACAACATTTTGTAACAGTGAAAATCTCACAAAGATTGTTTATATTTTTTCTTGAACTTTAGATCTTAATTTCTTCAAGTTGAATTTACACTTTGACATTTAATTTCAACAAATGAATAAATTAGTGTAGTCATGGCAATCACAATTCAGATTATCAATTATTATTTCCACATTAATGAGAGCTTAATAAATCTGTGAAGTACTATCCCCTTACCACTATATACATCACAACATGAGATTGTGGATGAGTAAAGAGAATTGAATATGAATTTAAGTGGTCCTCTAAAGAGCTTATAATAGATTTATAAACAATGGACACTTGTATTGTAACACACAAAAAGGCAAGGGTATGATATTTGCTTTTACCACATCATAATGTTGTAATATTTACCCATATCACTCCAGTCGGTCAAAGGTCAATTAAATAAGAAAACAAGCAGCCCGTCGGCTGAGATAGCTCCGCTGTTAGCAATGCACATTTTAATTAAAGAACTGAAGATATCATAAGAAAATGAACAATATTTATAGTATCAAGGCAATCAGACTTGCTATTTTCAACAAGAATTCAAAAATATCACTTTTTACCAAAATTACAAAAATATTCACCAAAATTGGAGAATTAAAGCGAACCTAAATGCGGCCTTAATTTATAGTTGTGTATATTCTAAACTGTATTCGAAATAATATTGCAGTGGTTTAATTTTGTTTTAATTATAACTGTAGCTTGGATAGGCATTTGAAGTGCTTGCAATTAAACACCATGGAGGCCATTCAAGGAGGGGAATAAATAACGAACGAAAATATTTAACATCCGGGTACTTTTCAAAGCTATGACGTTTTAGTATCTGATCGCATTCGTATACGCCATTGTACATAGCCGTGCATGCTGCCAAGCGTTGTGCACTACTAGTATAAACTCAACTTTTATATGCACAATGTGCTTTTTTATAACTTGGGTTGGAGCCTTGTGCGTTTGAACCACAGTATTCAGAGAGTGGAAGCCCAATTGTGTTAAAGTACCGTACTTCCCTGATCGTAAGCCCCTCCCGAGTATGAAGCCCATCCCTATATTTTTACTAAGTATTTATCGAGTTGAGGGCATTCACGATTATAAGCCCAGAGTGTTTTTACTGGGCGTCGATGATATTCTTTAAAATATGTGTGTAAAAGGTGTGTTTCATTTTATAATAATCGTGATTGGCATGGTAGTTTGGTTCGTGCTTTAAGTTTTTATGAGAATACTCGCATTAAATTTAGAGTGCATGGCGAACGTACACAACGTGGTTCGCATCCTTTCTATTCTGTCATTTACTCAGGATGAACCCCGATTTGGAATACTGGAGTAATCCATATTTCTTTGAGTAGTAACTTTCGAAAAGCCAAAAATGTGATCGTTAAGTCATGTACCTGGTTATTGGGCATGGTTTACTTTGAGACTATCATGAAAGGCCTAGGGTTTGAATGATGCGACATGATGTTGGCGACCGTTAAAGGTGTTTATTATAAATTCTTCCTCCACACTCAGTTCACCCACAGTTACTATTAACCGTCGTTTATATTTCGGAAATTGCGAATCGCCAGTTTTTAGGGAAAAAAATCATCATTTTTTCATTGCAATCAGTGCTACAGATCGCATTTTAACATTGCGGTAATTCACTTCCGCATTGCATTAAAAAATCATCGTCAATAATCGGAAAATTTCATCATTATGACACATCATTTTGATTGGTTAATGAAAGACATGACCTGTTAGGTCAAAGGAAGTTGTTCCAGGTCAAATCGTGCTGAAAAACCTCATGGTGGAAAATTTGCGAGAGTTTGCGTACAAACGAAAACATACCAAAACGAAGATAATGATAAATGCCTTCGTCCACTGTTTCCTCACAGACCCTACCCGTTATTTCACCATAAATTCAGACGGTATGTAAATCGTTTTGTAATAAAATGTGTGTGTTTTTTATGAACATGTTTGTTTCTTCAAGTTCATTATAAGTGTCGTGGAAATCAATGACGCATTTTTTTTTCAAAAATAAATATTATTTTCCCGAGCCCGGCGTGGTGATCGAGCCCAATCTTGGTGGCTAATTAAGCTGAAAGCATTAATTAACTAGATAAATAGTTACGACTCAGTATTAATGCACAAATATGAACATCACATTTGTTCTATTAGAAGAGTATCTCTAAATAAAAACAAAGAAGAGCTTTTGTTGTATAGTGGATCATGAAAATGTGACCTAATATGACAATAAACACACCTTTGTCATTTACATAAATGCATGCTTTACTAATAGATTACTGTAAAACATGTCTTTTTCACGAGCATGTCTTTTTCGCGAATTTAGCAAGAGAACTGATTCGCTAATTCAAGATGTCACTAATGACTTTATTGTCAATTTAAAATGGCCGCCAAACAAAGAAATCAACAATGACAAGAGAGATTCGCTATTACGTCATTTTACCACAATTCGCTAAAATTGCATGCCGCTTTTTCAACATGTTTTACAGTAAATACGATACATGATAATATTGAAAAGAACTAACTCACATCACTCTGCAGGCTATCAAGAGCTTTAGTGGCCACTTCGCCAGACCCTTCTTTACCATAGACATCTTTCACTGTAGTCATCAGTCCCTCTGTAATAACTTCCTTCACCTTATCTTTATGGAAGTAAGCCCAAACACCGCCACCAACTTCCATGAGGAACAAACAGACGAGTAAAACAACATACTGTGAAGAACAACGAAAACAATTTTTTGCTTAGTATTTCAGCAAACCAAACATGCATAAGTTTTCACTCTGAGTCTAAACGCCTACAATGAGATGATATGTCCAGTAAACAGTTCATGTAAAAACAACATTCAAATACATGATAACACTTTCTTCATGTCATGTACCAATATTATTGATACAACATTCTAAATAATGTCACTAATGTGTTACCATCAAGCTTGGAAGAAACCAATCAAAACTTCCCTTATTCACCGCCACTTCCCTCTTTTTTATCACAAATACTGTAAGTTACTTTATTTTCGCTTGGCATTTATTTTTGCTGAAGATACAATTCCATGAAAATAAAATCCAGCGAATATACTTTTTTTCCTATATTTCACATTAAACTCATCAAAAAAGAGTGAAAATAAATTCCATACAAAACGCCCAAAAGCCCTTTTCAGCGAAAATAAATTCTAGCGAAAATAAAGTATTCCACAATAGTACGTCTGCACAAAAATATCCAAATTTTTTTGGAGTACAAACTGAAAACAGACTGAAAATTTTGTCTGTTGGCTCCAAAATTGAATATTAGAAAAAAGTGCAGAAAAATTTGGACGAGAAAGTCTGGTGGTGAAAAGGTTAACTTTACTTTTGAATTGTCATTGTATTGAATGCTATTCAATGCAAGTAAAAAACTCACCATGCAGAGAAGACACTGGCTTTCACAGCAGGCACCACAACATCCTAGGAACCCAACCAGGATCATGAAAGCACCACACCCCATCATTGCATATGTGCCATAGTAGTATTGATCTAATCCCTCCACAGAATTCACATATTGCTGAGTAACAGGGTCAAGACGTAGCCATAATCCAACAGCCACTAAACCACTACCTAAAATCTAAGAATAGAAAACATTGTACATAGTTAGGAAAGAAATGAATGTATTAACCCATGTATTTCCATTTTGATTTTATCACAATGTAAAAAATATTATATGTACATGTACATACATTGTGAGAGAACCAAGTCACTCTCACCGTGTTATTTTGCCATTGCCAGCAATTGTCATTGAGGTCTTAGGCCAAACTAAAAAAAAATGTTTCTTGTCAGTGTGTGCTTCACAAAGAAAAAAGAGTTAACCATTTTATTCTATTCTACCACCTCACGATGGCCGATGTTGGCAAATTGATTAAATCTGCAGAATTTACTTGTTGTCAAATATTTTCAAAAAATAATTCATGACCAGAAATATTATTAACAAATTAAAATTTGCTTTCTTTAACACATTTAAACATTGGAAAATTCATGCCAGTGTAGTACCCTCTAAAGTGCCAGGATGTGTGACCTTCAGGGGTCATGCATAAGGCCTATTTTCTTAAAATCAAAGAATAATAGCCAGTTGACCCAATACTTCCTGATTGCAAGTGTAACAATGAAGAAACAGTATGAATTGCGCCATCTATGGTAAGAATGGAAACAACATTTGTTTTTTAAAGCTAACATAGTTATTATAATTTGTGAAATAATTTGTGACAACAAGTAACCAAAGTAAAGTTGCAAACAGAGTTTTCATACACTTGACTGCACAAATTTGTCAAAAATTTGAAATTATACAAACACTGCAAACTCTTGATATTTCTGATTTGCTGAGAAAACAGGCTCAAACTTGTTTCCATGGAAATAATAATTTTGATATTTCCCCATACTTTGGTGGCATTTTTGATTTCGGATTGGGCAAAATAAATAAAATTCCGGTTTATAGTTCAAAAATCTAGTTGGTAACACAAATTTATTTCTTCACAATTTGAAAAAGTTAAATTTAGCAAAGTTTTACGAAAATTTCTGTTTCAAGTGTGCTACATTTTTGTATACTACAAATTTTCCCAGCAAAACTTTGGTTCAACATTTTGCTCATTTTTTGGTATTTTTCCCAACATTTTTGAATCAAATGCATATAATTTCCTTTACTTTACAGGAAAATTGGTAAAAAAAATGAAAATAGTTATAACTAACCCTAACCCTCCAGTAGAGGGTCTATGAACTAATGCACCTAATATTTTACTTTGGTATTATATGTATTGTACTTTATTACTAACATTTTATTGCTGACAACCAATGGAAACTATTTCAAAGGATGCAATATTAAAATTCATTATTATTATATTTAATAATTTTGGACCAAAATTGGCAAAATTTTCTTTTGGCTACAGGTCTTGAACAAAAGTTAGGAAAAATCAGTTTTAATTTGAGAATGGTGAAAAAGTTGACTTTGGCGCTCAAAGTGTTAATTAATTTTCAGCAGCTTGGGAGTCAGTGATAAACACAAACTTTTGTCGCAGTAAGTATTTTTTTTAAGTGAGTCATTTTTCTTTAAAAATTTAGTTTGCACGAATACATATTAATCAACGAATCATAAAACATCCTAGCAGGCAAAATTAAACGAGACAGAACATACCTGCATTCATGTAGTAGTATTGAAAGTATAATTTTAATTTGCATAAATCCTGAAGCCACTAGACATTTACAGCACTTTTATTACCACAACAACCACAACACATAAAGAGAAAGAATGGCTAGTGGTTAGAATTACCCCTTGGAGATTTTTCATTGTTGAAAGGCCATAATTGTTGCCATAGTTTCACCATAATTCCACTTTATTCATAGTTTTAATAGTCGTAGCACCCTGAGGCTAGTCATGGCTTACATGTATGTGAGCTACACAGAGCGTTACATTGTTTTGTAACATTGTAACGGAGATTGATTTTAATCTACCATTAGGACCACAGTCATCTCACACAGTCCTTCATGGGTTCCATGCAATTTATACAACACATGTAAAATACATTGTTTTCATGAAATACAAAGAATGCATAACGATTGACAATTTAAATACTGTATCAGTCTCAGGGCTGATAGTGTCCCATTTTTTCAGATTTTGTTGTTCTCGTAGTCGTCGCTCCACATATTCAACATCATCCAACATCATCCAACATGTACAGCATGCGAGAAAAACTCTGTTTGAAGTGCATTACGCGACTAGAGTAGAAGCACATGTAAAACAAACAAAAAACACACATTTATTGTGTTGCTGAGGAAGGGTTGAACCCGAAACGTCCTGTTTTTTCAATCTCCATATTACCGGTAGTGCGTTTTTTATTTCCCCGCTGGTCGGTTTTATTGTTCTGCTTTTTCAGCATTATAGCAGATTTTACTGACTCTTGTTACTAAATTGTTCCATTTATTGTGTACTGGATTATTAAAATTACAATTTATTTTGAGTATAGATGCACCTCTTTATGTAATCTCATGATAAACAAGTCATTGAAAATGACACAGTCCCCATTAAGTTCTCTTTGTGCTCGTCATATTAAAGCGAAGGGGTTGTCGCGAGCGTGTCCTTGAAACTTGAGTTCCAAGTGGCGTATACAACAGATTGTTTATTTACATCAAAACACTTGTTTCGTGTCATAGTAATATAGCCAAAATAAAAACAGCTGTTATTCAGCCATCTTTGATCTGATTATGAAACACACTGATATGTATGGTGTATGTGCCAAATACGAATGAAAATGGTACATAAATTGTGGAAATATAGTAGTAAGGCCAAAAAGTCAGATGGCTGTCAATCAGCCATCCTTGACCAGATTTTGAAACAAATTGTCATGGACATGCATCCTAACATGTATAAAGTACATGTATGTGCCAAATTTGAATGAAAACTGACAGAGCACGTCCAAGATACCGCATAAAAAAACAAAAACAAGATGCCTGCCAGTCGACCATCTTTGATCCAATTGCGAAATAAATCGT